AGTGTATATATATATATATATATATATATATCAGATATTAAATCGCATTAATTGTTAAAAGGCATTCGCGAAGGGACCATGGGGCTTACAGGGGGTCGCTCTGCTTGGTGTCCTCCAAGGATACGGCACCCAGATGCCCATATGGTTACTCCAGGCCACAACTCAATCATCACAATATTGGCCATGCAGTCATACAGATGACAGTATATTGCAGAGAAGTGCTTTCCCAGTGGCTTCCAGGAATGACCAGCTGCATGCAGCAGTAATAGTAAATGTTGACACGTCACAGCATGAAGACACATCATCCTTCTAGTTTAAAGATTTCAGAAATATATAAAACTATTCTAACATTATTTGAATAGCTGCAAAGAACAGTAAAAACAGTCAGTGTTTTCTTTGTAGTCTACCCAAGGGTACCACCAGACAAATTGAGGACAGTCATCATGGTCAGGAGTCGGGGAAATTCAAGGGCTTGATGGAAAATATTACTCCAACCGGTCATTTCAAAGGTCTTCTGCTCAGGAACATGGAAAGAAGTGTGACATGACATCCCAGCTTGACCTTTGTACTTTAGTAAGAAGGGAAAATGCTTCTCTTATGCTAACTTAACGTGTCCAATCTACATATAGTCCTCACTTACCATTAATCTCTTTGTGAGCTTTCTGCTCAGGCCATATTGTCATCTTAAGACCTATGATTAAAGTGTAGAGAATGGACTTCATTGGTCATTGGTCTAGCGAAGACAAGGCAGTACAGAAATACATTCTGGGTAAAAAACACAGCCGTAACCACACGTAGAGGATGATATCCCACACACAAATTGGAAGAGCATGGTGGAGGGGAAAAGCCAGCAGTGAGCATAACAAATAGCTGGAGTGAGGTAAATAATGAAGAATAAAGAGAATACACAAGCAGATAAAAATGGAATCTCATCCAGGGTGCTGCCTACCTCGTGGTCTGTGCTCCAAGGTCACTGTGACCCTGTTGGAAGGTGGATGGATGAATGGATGGACAGATGAAACAAAAAAAAATCACCAGTGACACAGTTCTCATTCATTAAAATACTCTCATTTGACAATAATGTTATTAAATATGCATCACAAATCGTGCCCTTTTAAGTTCTGGATGCCAGATCTGTTAATTTTGTTAAAAAGGATAACACTTTTCAAAACCTAATCTCACTGTCCACACACTTCATGGGTGATTCATACGGTTATTAAAAATTGAGAAAAGTAACAATCTGCAGTAAGCACACAAAGAATTTAAAGGTTCTACATTTAGCTAATAGCAATAATTATATCTTTATCAGAAGAAAATAAGACTTAATTAAAACACAGAATATCTGAGGAAATAGGCACTGGTTGTTTCTACAAGTAATTCCTTTGAGTCAAGGTTGAACTATAGCAGAGATAGTGAATGACATGCTATGTTATTATTTTAGTGGCTGACTTGAGTGCCCTTCAGTGGCTGAATTTAGCTGTTTAATCCATTCTGACTGGATTCATGTAAAATATAATTAAATTACATTCAAAATCATTTATAATAATTGAAAGGCTTTTACTAAAATGATTAATAATCCTTATTTAATTAAACAGTCCTTATTTTTTTGGGAGAAATGGGATGTATCTACAAATTTAATAGTTTAATTTAGACAAACTGATGCTATGAGAATGGCTAGCTAAATAAGTATGAACTCATGTGTAAAATACACGACTCCTCATCTCAGGTCAAGGGCGTAACTTTGGCTGGAACACTGGGGGGGTTGAGGTCTCCACCCATTATGGGGGAAGCATGATTATTGGGAGGTTGTATAAGCTGGTTTTGATTTATTGGGGGGGGCTACAACCCCCCTATCCCCCCGTAATTTATGCCCATGTCTCAGGTAACAAAGTAAATATCAGGTGGCACTCAGTTATCCAATCAAATAGCTAATCATGCAGACTCTCATTAGTACATGCTAGTGTAATAAGTCAGAGGACCAAAGGACGGTTTCATCGGTCTGGGGGGGTCGGTAAAACCCATAATAATCTTGTGATTTATCAGTCTAGGATAAGACAAACATGTCTACAAATGAACAAAATTCAATACAGTGGCTCTACATCCGTCAAAATCAACCCCAAGAGAAGCATTAGGTAGGATGCCGAAGAGACTAATGCAGGCCTCCTTTGTGGTAAAATTAGAAGCAAAAGCATTCGAAAGAAAACATTTCACTATCGAGAAAATAATATGCTTTATTTAGCAGATGCTTCTGGCCAAAGCAACACAAATGAGGCAAAAAGCACATTACAAACATACATGCTGTCAAGGAGTCAATTCGGTGTACTGTAAGTGCAGCTAGACTGAGCTTCCAGTGTGTAAGCAGTGCTGAAAAAGTGCCACGCAATGCCTTTCAAACAAAGTTTGACCTAATAGATAATAGGACCTAATAAGACAAGTATTTAAATCAGCAGAAAATGCAATACTAAGAGCGTTCAGGAAACATGGGTTAACAGAGTTAAGTTTGCAAAATAGCACCTGGATAGTCTTGGAGAATTCTTGAAGGATGTTCTCTGGACAGATGTGTCTAAGACTGATCTTTTTGATTCCAACCTACAAACTCCAGGCTGCCTAGCACCTATTGAGCCTGGTGGTGGGGACTCTTAGTTTAGGTGACTCATAACAAAAGGCTCTGGACTACAATTTCAGGCCCCATATCCTCAAGTTAAAATTGCATACCTGAAAATTACTCTAACAATTCAGCAAATCTACTAAAAACTTCACCTTTTGTCTATACTGGGCACGAAGACATAACAGCTAGGAGTGTTTATGTCTCTGGGGATCAAATTTTGCAATATTTCATGCCAAATTCACACAATCGTCATAACCAATGGACACTCCGAAACCACTGGCGATACCATACTATGATTAGTGTGACTATAAAACATTATATTATCCGTGCGGT